TACTTTCTAAATGTCATTAATTTCTTTTATTCATGACTAATCAGGAAATTCTTTGAATTACTGCGTGTATTATACTCTCCATCAACAAAACGATAATAATAAGAATAAAATGCCTAGCGACACGCGCCCAACACATTTTGGCACACAACCTGACCACCTCGTTGACCCTGAACTCTTGCGTCAATTGAATGCTAAAAGAGATGTTGTATGTACTTCTTGATCGCGCGTGTTTCGACTTAAGAATAACTTAATATGAATATTTATTTAAAATTCATTGTTTGACAAATTTAGCTTGTGAACGCATATGACCAAATCGCTCAAGCGCTTAGATTTGCTGCAAAAGCCTGTGATGAATTCCAATCTTTAATCCCAAGGGATGTTGGTATTGTTCCCGGAGATGGTCACATGAGTGGATCCGGCCACTCTTTACACCAATCAAGAAAATTAAAAAAGTCTCAGATAAAAGATCCAAATGCCCCAAAACGTCCAAATACGGCATATATTTTGTTTAGCAATGAAATTCGCGCTGAGACAAAAGCCGATAACCCAAATGCAAACCAAAAAGAAATTGTAACTCTTATAGGTCAAAAATGGAAAGCTCTATCAAGAGAACAAAAAAAGGTATTTAATTATTTGTTTATTAATTTTAATTTATATAGTCACAAGTCTTATTCAATAAATAAATTCATAGGTTTATGAAGACCGCTATTTTGCTGACAAGGAACGATACGATGAGGAACTTCGTGTATATAGAGCGACCCATGGGCACGTAGAATCACCCCCTGAAACTTCTTCCAATTAAGATAACGGTGATCATGGTGCTGCCTCAGCTTCCAAACTTGTTTCTAATGCACCAAATGTTTACGTTCCCCATTTGGGCCCTATTTCCACAACTTCTGTTGGTGCAATTCAAGGTGATGTTAGCACAATGCCTATTTCGGTACCACCATCAGAAACAGAAAACACTGCCTTGTTCGAATCTTTCATTGGTGCATTCCCAACAGGGGAACAGCAAGATGCGTTTGCTGCGGCAATAGCAACATCAGTCGAAGCTATTTCTGGTTCACCTTCTATTGCGACATCTACTTTAAATAAGCGTACCTCTCCTGAAATCGATTCTGCCAATGTATCAAAGCAAGTTGATGAAGCGCCTGCTGCAAAAAGAACACGTGCCTCAAAAAAAGCCAATGAAGAAGATGTTTTCAATCCTCCGGCTGATGATCTTGGGACTAACACTGAGCAAAATGATCCGGTCACTACAACAAAGAGAACAAGAAACAAGCGAGGAGCTGCCAATGGCCCTGCATCAACATCTCAATCCAAAACCGCTTCTACCACTACTACTCGTAGTAGACGCGGTGGAAATGCTTGAATTGTTTTCTTTTAAAAAAATCGAATAGTAACAACTACATTTGAACGTAAAATCGTTCACTAATTAAATATTTCATTATGTTCGCTCGGTCGTTCATAATATATATATATGTTAATATATTTTTTGTTCTATTGTTTCCTTTTTTTTAATTTTATTTTTGTTTTGCTGTGCACTTTAATTTGAAATTATATAAATAGACAATTTTACATTTTCATGTAGATTTTTTTTAGTGCGTTTTTCCAATTTTATCATTTATTTTTAATACTTGAAAAATAGGATTATAAATTTTGAAAATTTTAGTGTTGTAACATTTAAAATTTCAGTAATTATTTGCGAGCATAATAAATTCATTTGGAACTATTTAAGTTTCACAATTGTTTTATCTTTTAAATATTTGTTTTCTTTTGTTAAAGGTGTAATGTTTCACCCGAAAAATCAATTTCAAAAACATCTATTTATCCATTTCAACTTTCTTTAAAAGAAACGTGTGTAAATACTGATAATAAATAATCTCGGGCCATCTTGATCATCTTGCTATTTTTATGTCATTTGCATGTATTATTTACTTTAAATATATATCGATATGGTATTACCTGTTGAAATTCCCGATGTTATACCTGATTTTGTTTTATAATTGACATCTCGTATTACGGTTACATACATATCCAGTAATATCGATTTTCTTAAACCGATTGTGCTGATTTTTTTTATCGTTATGGCGAGTATAATACACGCAGTAATTCAAAGAATTTCCTGATTAGTCATGAATAAAAGAAATTAATGACATTTAGAAAGTA